GTGGTAGAGGAAGACCAAAAGGAAAAGGTGAAGGTAAGGTGGCTCAAGTTTTCGGCTCGAGTGCCACATTTTGTGGCGTAGTGAGTGCTGTGTGAACGGGCTTGGGGTTCTCAACCGGCTGTGCGACCAGGTTCGAGGCCCTCATAATCCCAGCTTTAGCCTCCTTTTGAGCCATAGCTGCCCTTGGCTTGGGTGTGGCTTCCACCCCTCGCTTTTCGTGAGGCCGCAGCGGATAGGGTCTACCCTCCGCTTTGACCGGCCAGAAGACAGCGAGGACGTGAGCAATCACTCCTTAGCCATGGGCCAGAAGCGCCAGTACTTCGTCTGCAAGTGCGGGGCGTGGACGTGGGCAGACAAGGTGCACAGTAGCCCCCACTGCCAATGTGGCAAGAAGTGGCCGGCACCTGCTCTCAAGCAGAACGGCAGCCCGCGGCCACCGAAGGCCCCCTCGCCCTCTCCTCAGCGCGGCGCCGACAAGAAAGAAAGGCGCGAGGAGGAACGCCGCTTGAAGCGCGCCGTCACGACGATCTGGGACCAAATCCCGGAGGATGCGCGGGCGCGCCTCACACAAGCGGGATGGAAAGGACCTCCCAAGCAGAAAGATGCGGTCGAGTCCCAGACCGACCCTCTCCTGAGCCTGTTGGTACAGCGCCAGGATGAGTTGCCGGAGGACATCCGCACTGCGTTGGTGGAGGCAACCACTGGTCCGGAGCCGTCTCCGGGAGAGAAGGCCATGCAATCCAACAAGGACCTCACCAAGGCCAGCTCCCGTCTCCGAGTGCTGATCCACAAGAAGATCAAGCTACTGGAGAGCATAGAGGAGGCGAAAGAATCCCTCCGCCTGCAGCTGCAGGAGCTCCAGGAGACAACGGAGAAGATCCACGAGGCAGAGAATGCGGTGGAAAAGGCCAAGCTCGAGCTCACAAAGGCTGTGGGCACCGTCCAGGACGTGCCTGTCACTCCTGAGCCAATGGATGTGGACGACCTGATCACCATCCTGGGTTTGACCCTCTCTGACGAGCAGCAGGGGAAATTGGCCGACTACCGCGCCAAAGCCCAGAAGAGGAAGGTGCCCGATGTGGGTGCGCCTCCGGGGCTGCCTGCTTTCCACCTTGGCTTGCAAGGCCCGCAGCCAACAACCCAGCAGGGCGCCAACCCCCTGCCGGCCGCACCCGCAGGTCCGGTAGGCCAGCCCAAGGGGGCTGACGGGACCGGCGGCCGCCAGCGGAGCCGCACTCCCCCGAAGAACGGGGAGACCCTGGCCGGCGAGGAGGAGAACACCAAGCAGGTCACAGAGTAGGGAGTGAGCCTCCATGGCGGACCAGGGAGTGGAAGTGGTTTACCCACTCCAGCACCCGCCGAAGAGGGAGGCCAAAACACCCCTCAGGATTTTGTCCTTCCGGCACGTCGTAGCCGCCAGTTTTGCAAACGACAACAGGGAGCCCCGCCCTCAGTGGATAGCTGTGTCAGTGGCCCCAGGTTCTTTCTTTCATCGTTTTGCGTGGCTTCGCCACAGCAGTTTTTACCCGACTCGGAGGCGTGGTCACCCTCCCAGGCCTCAGAGTCGGACAAGGGGATTGTGGACACCACTCCCCGGACAGGTTTTCGCCCAAACCGGCTTCCCGGATGCAGGCGCGGACCACAGCACTTCGGTAACCGCCGCAGCCGTCACGCTCACCAGGCACGCCGGATCCGCAGGTCCAACGCCATTTTCTGGGCAGCATGGCAGCCCCCGGAGGGCGACCACCTGTCCAAGGCTCAGGCGCACTCTGAGTCTCTGAACCCAGCTGCACAGGTTTTGCGCCTGCAGGACGTGGTCCCCACTCCTGTTTCTCAAGCAACCTCAGCCCCCAGCCTAGGCCATGGTGGCCGAATCCGGCCACGGGGCAGCACAGAAGGGCTCTCCGGAGGTCTGGCTTCAGACAGGCCCAGCAGTCTCGCCGCCGAGGATGGGACCAGGGCTCTAGGGCAAATGCGGCCCACGAGGCTTCGTGCCTCAAACCTTGCCCGTTGTGCAACGGTCCCTGTCTGGAAATCAGCGACTACCTCACGGGCTGTTTGCACTGCTCAGGAGTGGCCCTTAGGCCCAAGGGACCTCACCCCTTGACCCTCTGTCCGACGGGGAACGTTTTTCATGTTCCTGTGGACACCCCCCACCAGGGCGAGGGAGGGATCTCAGCCACCGAGAGCTCCGAGCAGCCCCTGGTGCAGCCTCACACGGGGTGGGTATTTTGCGGAGGACCTGAGGTCTCCACACAGGCCCTCAATCTCAATCCCCCACCAAGGCTACTAGGGGAGGAACCCGAAAACGGCGCCCTGCAGCGTCTGCAAGGCCCTCTCCGATGCAGCCCATTGCGGAGCGGCTCGCTCTCGCCTGCAGCGCGGCAGAGAACCTGGAGGAAGCCGAGGAGGCTATCGTGGCTTTCGGCGAAGCCGTAGAGACGGAACCGGAAGGCAGCCTCGCTTTGCCAAGGACATTGCCGCTCAGGGAGCCATTTCCCCTGCCGACCCCATCCACATCACCAGCGCCAACGTGACCTCCTGGAAGAAGGAGCTGCTCACGTGGCACCCGGCCACGAAAGGCATCCTAGCATTGCAGGAGTTAGCACCTCAACGCCGAGGGCCTCAACCAGCTACGCATCGAGGCATCCAAGTGCGGCTTCCACCTCTTTACGCCGCCCAAGGGCGACCGGCCTTATCCCACTCGTGGTGGCATCGGCCTTTTGGTCCCCTCTCAAATGCAGGGTCAAGCCTGCGGGGGCATGATCACGGAGGAGGGATGCGGCTACGTGGCGATCGCCCTGCCGCGCCTGCGATGGACCCTCATGGTCGTCTGCGTGTACCTCCAGAGTGCAGTGGGAATCCACGCTGGATGCAACCCTGATGTCCTCGCGGCCTTAAGGCCGGTGCTACGGGAACACCGCAATTGGATTGTGGTAGGGGACTGGAACGCTCCTCCTACCGAGTTTCTGGGCACGTCGTGGGCCGAGACAGTGGGGGGCGCCCTTCTTGCACCGGATGGGCCGACTATCAACACGGGCAATATACCCTCGACTACGCACTGTTAGCTCGGCCGTTGGCTTCTTTGACAAGCGTTAAGACGGTGTGGGAGGTCCCCTTTGCGCCCCACGCCGCGGTTGCCTTCACCCTCACCGTCCAACAGGGACTGGTGGCGCTGCCTCAGCTCACCGGTTACCAAGGCTTTGCGGGATGAGGCGGCTCCCGCCGACCCGGCGTGGGTGGCTCCCGGTCTTGGGATGATCGGGGCCCAACCTCTCCGTTCGGACCCCCTGACCTGCCGCTTCGCGGGCATCACTTCTGGGATGGCGGCATGCCACTACTCCACCGAAGGAGGGCGCGGCACAAACAACCCCCTCCAGCACAAGCCTAATGCAGCAGGACTGGTCCTACCCGTGGAGGGGCCACGTCGCTGCTTTCTGGAGCCGAATGGCCGTTTTCTGGAACACCCGAAGAAGCACCTTCGGCGAATAGAGGCATTGGTGGGCAACATGCCTCCCGAGGCGGTGGAGGCAACTGCCCTCCACCTTAAGGCGCAGGGGATCGAGGACTCCTCTCCCCAAGACTTCCTCTGCGCCCTTGGCTCGGCGGCAGAGGGCCGGCTTTCAACCCTTGCAGTGGTCCGCCAGCTCCGCGACGAGGAGCAGCAACGGGCCCGGAAGGCAGAGACCGACGCGGTGGCCGAATGGCTCGTGATCGGCACCCGGCGTGGCATGCGACCGCTCTTTCGCTGCCTCTCCAAAGCGGAGACCAATGTCATAAGACCCTTCACGGAGGTCTCAGCCGAGTCCCGGCCCTACGAGAGGCTCAAGTACTGGGCCACTCTATGGCAAGCCCGGGGAAGACCAGCTCTTTTCTGGAGCTTCGCCAGAGCAAGCCAGGCTCTGCTTCCCGCGGTCACGGGGACTCAGATGCACCGGTACATCCGCTCGATGCCGTGTAAAGCCCCCGGGCTGGATGGTTGGGATGTTCCCTTCCTGAAATCCCTCTCCATCGAGGAGGTTCATACCCTCGCCGACCTGTGGAGAGGGGTGGAGCTGGAAGGCGTCCTTCCTCACCAGGCCTCTTTCACTCAGTACGTAATGCTCCCTAAAAACGAGAAGGTGGAGAGGCCAATCGGCCTCATGTCCACTTTCCTGAAGTTAGGCATAAAGTGCCGTTGGGAGCTTGCAAGTTCATGGATCGAGGCTAACCGGGCATCCCTCTGGTGGGATTCGGCCCTGCCATCCCGCAGCACGCACGATGCATCCCTGCGGCGCGCGTTCCTCTATGAGGCTTGTCGGATAGACAAAGTGCATCGGTGCACCATTTTCTTCGATTTCAGCACCTTTTATGAACGCGTAAGCCACGAAAAGTTGTGCGAAGAAGCAGCCCATTGGGGCTTCCCGCCGCTTCTTCTCAACTTAGGGATGCAAGCCTATCGTGGCGGTCGCATCGTGACCGCCGACTCAGTCGCCTCACCATGCGTTTTCGCGGCGAGAGGAATAGTAGCGGGCTGTCCGCTAGCTCCTCTCCTATCGAAACTATCGATAGGAAAGCCCATCAGGGCTGCGTGCGCGGGTTCCCTGGCGGATTACGTAGGGTGTTGGGTGGACGACGTCTCGGCCGATGTCGTCCAAAAAACCCCTGAGCGTGCCGCTGCCGGGATAGTCACCCTCTATCGCCGTCTTCACGACGCGTTGGAGGCGGAAGGCAACGAGGTGTCTGCCTCCAAGACACACTTCCTGGCGAGCTCGCCAGAGGCGGAACGCGCACTCCGCCGTAAACTGGGGAAGGGTGACCCCCCGGTACGCCAAACCACCAAGGACCTTGGCATGGAAACCGCTGCTGGGCGGCGCCGGACTACCTTCCAGTCGGCAGCGCGTCGCTTCAAGGCCAACCGACGCTTTGCAAAGCTCCAGTCGCTCCGCTTGCCGGCCCTCCGGGTCCGATCCCGGCTTTGAGGCGCTCGGGATGTGAGTGGTGGAGGCGCGACGACCTCCATGGACTTGTTGGCCAAGGGCATACAGCAACTTCAGCAACTACAACTTCGAAAGGAGACTCCGGAGCAGGAGCTGCTCAAGGGCAGCCTCGAGCTTCCCAAGTTGCCTGAGCTCTACCAGGATGCAAGCTCGGTTTCGTACCTCGAGTGGATCTATGAGACCGGGCAGGTGATCAGTTCGATCACGGACAAGGCGGGAATCTGGTGGAGTGTGGTTTTGGACCTTGCCCTGGAGGCCTACCACCGCTACCAGGATGAGACCCCGCTCAAGCGTCTGAAGATTACTTTGGGCACCCACCCGAACGCCGACGATGAGAAATGGGCCCGCCTGGACAAACGAGTGATGGCCCTTCTGCTCCAGTGCATGACGGCGTCGGTGAAACAGGAGGTCCTGATGCTGAGGCTGCCCCATGTGAAGGACGTGCTGTACAAGCTGTATGGCGAGAGCCAGCAACCCCAGCAGAGTGGCCGGGCGGAGGCACTGGTTCGAGTCATCAAGAGCCGGGTGAAGACCCTGCTGCGTGCGGCTTCTCTGCCTATGTCCTGCTGGCCGCTTGCCGCACAGTTTTCTGCCCGACGACAGCGAGACCTATCTCTCGGAGACCGAGCCGATGAAGCGGTGCCGTTTGGAGCACCAGTGCACGTGAAACACAAGAGGTTCGGGGAAGGGGGAAGATATGATCTTGCTGAACGCTGGCGTTCCGGCAAGTTCGTTGGGTATTCGTCGGATGTCCGTGGGGGAAGAGTGGTGCGCCATGATGATGGGAGCTACACGACATCGGTGCATATCAAGCCGTACCTCGTAGACTCCGACGACTTGGTCGAGCAAGGACCCTTTGAGATGGAAGTTGAGGACCCAGTGCGGCGGATTCGTGGGAAGTCCCGAATGGCTTTCCTGGACGCCAACCCCAAGGACGAGCTCGACCAACAGGCCAAGGAGCTCATGGATGCTGAGAGCTATGACTTGGAGGGCGTGACCGCAATCTGGGAGCTTCTGAAACCACACGCGAGATCTACTACAAGGTCAACTCAAGGCGAAGGGCTCCAATGGTTGATCGGCCAGTATGTCCATGGAGGACAATGTGGAGCAACCTTGGACACGGATCGTTTCCCCTGGGCCACGCTCTACCTGGTCAAGGCCTTCACCCACCTGACGGGAGAAAAGGATTTCTCGATCTTGTTGACTGAGGATGTGGGAATGAAGATACACCGGGATGTCCACAACCACGCCGGTCGGGACAACGTGCTTCTTCCTGTACTACCTTGTGAGCGTGGAGGGGGAGTTTGGGTAGAGACCGAGCCGAAGGACTATGATGTGAATGATGAGTGGCGGCAACTACCAAGGGGAGATTGGCGTCGTGGGCGAGTACATGATCTTCAGCCTGGAGTCCCGGTCAAAATCAATCCTCGAAGGTTCCACCAGACGGAGGACTGGGAAGGGAGAAGGTTAGTTATGACGTCCTTTACTCCAAGATCAACCAGACTGAAGCCACCCGCCCACGAGAAAGTTTTCGGTTATGGCTTCAATCCACCTCCTCTACCACCACAAGTTCCCGAACAACTGCAACGGAGCATCCTCAAGATGATGAGCTTCTCCGAGCCCACCAAGCGCCAGGAGGCTGTGATGTTCCAGATGAGAACCACACGCGAAGAGCGCCAAGAGAGGGCCCAGGAGATCAGCCAGGAGCTACAACAGTTGCAGGATGATGTCCTTGGAAGACTTCAAGAACGACGGGAATGGCTCCAGCAGTTTCTGGCTGAGGAGGAGATCCTTGCCGAAGAGTTCAACACGGTTGGGGAGTCCATCCGGGATGAGATCAAGGAGATTAACGTGGTGGTCCGGGAGTTGATCAAGGACGTGGAAGATCAGGTCCGATCTGTGGAGGAGCGGTGCAAGGACTTGTACCTCAAGGTAGCCAACGCCACGGATGACAAGGAGATCGGGGATATTGAGGATTACCTGACCCACCTCAAGAAGGATTCGGATGTCACGTTGGATGTCCCGCTGGACCAGGTGAAGGCGAACCTCGGAGAGTGGATCGAGCCCATGAACAAGGAGCTCGCGAACTTGGAGGAGAAGACGAATGCGATTGAGCCCAGGCCTATGACCGAGGCAAAGAAGCTTGTGAATGATGGGTCGTTGATACTCATCCCTGGCAAAGTCGTGTTTACTGTCAAGCCTCCAGCTCCGGAGACTAAGGCCGAGAAGAAGTCTCAGGGGGCACGTTGGAAGCGCAAGGCCAGGATCGTGATCTGTGGCAACCTGGCCACTCAGTCCTTGAATGGGCAAGATTTGTATGCAGCTGGCGCCTCGGTTGAGGCGCTCCGCTTGGCACTCGCTCTGGCGTCAGCGCTTGGTTGGATTGCTGCCGCTACTGATGTCTCAGCGGCTTTCCTTCAGGCCGAATGGCCTACTGATCGGCCAACGTACGGAGTGATCACGCCGCGGATCTTGGTGCAGGCCAAGCTCGTCCCAGACAACGTTGTGTTCGTGGTCAAACGGGCACTGTACGGGCTGCGGGAAAGCCCGGCTCTTTGGGCAAACCACAGGACGAGGACGTTGAGGGAGGTGAGTGTTGATGCTCCTGAAGGAAGGGTCTGGCTCAAACCCCTGGTCACCGATGGGGAGCTTTGGATGATCCTGCAGCTACCTCCGGGTGCTGAGCGACCACAACTTCGAGGCCTCTTGGTTTCCTACGTGGACGACTTACTGTACTTGGCGGCAAGGGCAATGATCCTTCTACTACACACCCGGATAGCCGAGATTTGGCCTTGCTCAGCCCTGGAATTGTCAGACCAAGGCCTACGCTACCTAGGAATGGAGCTGCTCCAGGAGGAGAACACCTTTACTCTTGGACAAGAGGCCTACGTGGCCAATCTGCTTCGGCTTCATGGACTGGACCCTGGCGAAAAGGCGGCTGTCCCGTGCCCGAAGGAGTGGATCCAGGACACAGACATGGACGGCGAGGCGGAGAACTTCAGTCCTGAGGAGCTCACTCGGGCTCAGAAGATCACCGGCGAGTGCTTATGGCTGGCATACCGGACTCGTCCGGATATTCTCTACGTTACGAACTACATGGCCGGGATGACTGCAAGGAAACCTGTGAAGGTTTACAACGTGGGCTTGAAGGTTGTGGCCTACTTGAACGCCACGGCGGGCTTGAAACTGAAGGTCGAGTCCGAAGCAGTGCCCACAACAGAGCCAAAGCAGTCCGCAGCAGTGTCCACAACAGAGCCGAAGCAGTCCGCAGCAGTGTCCACAACAGAGCCGAAGCAGTCCGCAGCAGTGTCCACAACAGAGCCGAAGCAGTCTGCAGCAGTGTCCACAACAGAGCCGAAGCAGTCCGCAGCAGTGTCCACTGATACAAGCAAGCAACATGAGGCAGGTTTCAGGGTAGGGTTATCTGGGTACTGTGATGCGTCGTTTGCTCCGTTTGGTGGAAAGAGCTTTGGATGTAGCATGGTCATGGTGGGCCGCACCCCTATCTCCTGGAAGGCAGGCAAGCAATCTACGGTGGCTATGTCGGTTTGCGAAGCAGAGCTGATGGAGGGATCGACATGTGCCCTCTTGTTGGAGTCCACTCAAGCAATGTTGGGCGAAATCATCCCGGAGGTTGGTACGCCCACTTTGTTCATCGACAACATGGCGGCGCACAACATCCTCCATGGTTCTGCTGGCAGCTGGAGGACGAGACACTTGAGGATTCGGCATTCCTATGTGCTGAACCAGGTGTCCACTGGATCTTTAAGGGTCTGCCACTTGGCTGGAGAGGACCAACCGGCGGATCTACCTACAAAGCTCCATAGCCGAGCGAGGCTGCTGCACCTACTGGAGGTTTGGAACATGGTGGGTCTACCAGCTCTGGACAGCGAGAAGGTGGTCAAAGGTTTGAAGCTGGGATGCCTCTTCCTGTTGATGTTGGCGGTGCAATCTTTGGCGGTGGCTGCTGAGAAGGAGCCTTTGCAGGTTACGGGAACGAGCGAACTCTTGTTGCTGCTTGTTATGACCTGCATCGCTGCAGTTGCGCTATGGGAAGCGGGAAGAGCGGCCTACAAATGGGCGGTTCCGATCATCTTCGCGAACAAGAAGTCCCGGAGAGTGCATCGTCTGAGGGACTTGGCGAAGGCAGCTGCGGAAGCGGAGATCGAGAAATGGGTGGAGGAAGAGAATGTCACCAGCGAGCAGGTGACAAGATCCCTGAGGGAGATCTTGAGAGAGGAACGTCAAGGCGGAACACTTCCCACGCCCTCGGTGCCTTCTACGCCACCGATCCCTACGACGCCGGAGAGACCCAGGACCCCAGTTCAGACCAGGGACAGATCGAGCATCTTTGGCGGAACGAGACCTACGACCCCGCCGATTCCAAGGAGACGGACGCCGTCCCCTACACCAAGCCCCCTCCGACATGAAGGCGGGCAGTTCGAGCGGGAGAGGGTTGTCACAGACACCCTCAACCTGATGACAATCAGGGCACTCAAGGTCGGCCTCGAGGAGGAAGGCTTAGCCATGAGTGGCCTCAAGGACGACATCGTGAGGCGCCTGACAGGCGTCTTCGGAAGTGAGCCACCACCGGCCCATCGACCAACAACCAAACAGCTGCGTTTCATCCTGTACACCTGGAGACACCGGAGGCTGTCTGGTCGCACGGAACTTTCTTGGCTTGTTGTGTCATCGAGGTCAGCTACTTCTGAATGGCTAGCCAAGTGGAAGGACGCTTGAAGACTAGCCCAACAATGGTCGGTGACTGAAGCCGCAGGCTGCAGTCAAGGAGGAGTGATGAAAGTATGCTCTGACTGTTGGCCTAGCTTCAAGTTGAGATGAGATCCCAATCCCTGCACCTTTGTACAACACGGCAGGTAGAGAAGGATTTCCGTCTTGTGGCACGTTTGCCAAGAATTGTTGTATAGCAGTAGAAGTTTAGCCAATGATCGACAGAAGCCAGCAATCGACAGGTGTTGTTGTGTAAAAGGGAACCCAAATTCGATGCCATAGCTCTCTTTGCTTCTGCTCCATCAAATCAAGACGCACGACCTCAACCCGGAGTTTGAAGTTTTCATAATAATAAGCCCTATACCCTTTATTCTTAGGGTCCCTTGTTTTCGAAAAGTCCCACACAAGCCTGGGTCTCCATGGGCACAACTGCCCAGCTCGATGTACGGCTGCAGGACCGGGCCTAGGTGCTTATTATAACTAATATAAGAATTAGAGTGTAGAAGCTTGAGGATAATTTAGGGCCCAGGGGATGCGATCGAGTGTCTGTCTTCGTCGTTGATCGCCGGCATGGGCTGGATGTTGCCTAGGTGCATATAAGGATTAAAAAGTAGAAGCTTCGATCAGGTTTATTTAGGGCCCAGGGGTTCGCAGGATGCGTTCGAAATTAAAGGAGTCGAGCGGCAGTGGCCGTCATCCTGAGTCTGCATCGCACGCAGGGGTTGCAGCATTGTGCCTTGGTGCGGAATAGAATTTACAAGCTTGAGGTTATATAAAATCATAGGGGTTAGCAGGATGCGTTCGAAAGTATTTTGTTTGCACAGCTGTTTCTCGGTGTGGCAATTGCCAACGCCCGATTCTGCAGCCATATATATATATATATATATATATGTATAAGATGTGTGATTTTGCTATAGTCATGTATATACTTTGAAAGTCATATAGGTCCACAACATCATGATGAGCCGTTGACTGCGGACAAAACGACCAGTTGTCCCAATCAACCCAAACTCACGGTCGACTGCAACGGGCACGGACCGGGTGGCCATGCATAAACGAAGCTGTGTGCTTTGTTTATAATAGAAATATATGGCGATGTCAAAGTATTTTGTTTGCACAGCTGTTTCTCGGTGTGGCAATTGCCAACGCCCGATTCTGCAGCCATATAAGATGTGTGATTTTGGTATAGTCATGTATACTTTGAAAGTCATATAGGTCCAAAACATCATGATGAGCCTCATAGACTGCGGACAAAACCGACCAGTTTTCCAAGGATCTACTCATCAAACGTTAAGAAACATCAACTAATCAGTCCCGTTGGGGAAGAAACGACACATGACAACAAACACCGCACGACGTTTAAGAAACGACAAAGGGCTGTCCAGGTTGTCGACGAAGTCGTGATCCGCAACCTCACCCGTCAACGGATCAAGAACGCCGAATGGGCATTGTCGTGCATACAATCTGACTTGCGCCACAGAATTGCAAGGCGCCCAGGGTCGGAATGGCTTGAGGGCAAATGCAGGGTGGCATTCATGGACATCATCAGATGTGATGAAGGTGGATGGGTGCTTATCGACGAGTTGATACAGAAAGAGTAACTGTGGACCCACAGTAGCAGGGGCATTACGGAAGGAATTGCTGGGCAAGACCTCGACCAGAGGAAACGGGTTTACAACGAGAGATTGCAGTTGCTTTTCCAAGGAAACTGGCTGGCGGCCACGAAACGACACAAGGCCAAGATCAGGCTGCAGTTTCTGGGCGTGAGAGTGAAGGAACCTCCCGCTGGTGCAGGACCAATCGGCATGGTTGACACACAGAGCTTGGTCTCCGTACAAGATCAGATCGCCGAGATCCAGTACCACAACAACACCAGGAACAACCAACAGTATCTGCAGCAATGCAATGGCTGGGTCCAGCCCTGGGCGGTTCGTGCCACAAGTGGCCACTCTACGCACTCCAACCCCTCCAAGAACTTGCTCCAGTTAAACAAGGACAGGTTCGCAATCTCTCCATCGATGAGTCTTCTGGGCCGTCTGGGAGGAGCATTCCACGCGACAGCGTGTCGCAATTTGGACTCTATCGTTCTGCATGGCATAGTGCCTGGTTCGGAGGGCCCCGACGGGGACTTCGATCAGCGCCGCCAAATGTGGGACAACAGGGGCGGTCGTCTCCACAGCTATTTCGGAGTATTCGCACCGTTTGACAACAGGAATGCTACCACGAAGACACGAGTACATGGACCAGAAGCCAAACACATGCCGCTCGTGGTTCTTCACGTCCCATCAATAGACCTTGCCCGAGAAGGAGGACGAATCACCGACAGTGGCGTCATCATCATTGGACGCACGGTGCCGTTCTCATTCGTCAAGGAAGCTTGGTTGTGCGTTCCTAACCCTCGAGATACACACTCGTTTGTGCTGGTGGAGAAGATCTACGATGAACGTTTGGAGAACGAGATGGTGTTGGAGTACAGTGGATCTCCATTGCTCCCCGAGTTCGAGCGCTAACAAACATTGATGACCCGAGGATCTACGACGAGATGCAGACGGCAGAAGGATGAGGGTATGTCCGGCATGCTACAACATCGTTCCGGCATGCTTCACACGATGCACATCTTGCTGGTCACAGTTCATTTCATGCGGTCATTACCAAGGTACTTCACAAAGGGAGACTCCTACGGAGATGCCTAGTGACTTCATTGCCCAGACGATGGAAGCTGCAGCCGCAGCAGTGCCAGAAACGACTGCAGAAGAACAGGAGGCCATGGAAACGGAAACTCTGGCTGAGCCTGAGGGCATTCCCGACATGTCCGTCATCGGAGACGAGGACGCAGAACAGGAACCAGATGAGGAGATGGATGCAGAACAAGAAGAAGACTTCGACGATGAAGTTCCAGCAAACGTCGCATTGGAACGTCGTCCAGTTCTCATTGCAGGCCAATCCTTGAATATCGACCCTGAACTGCAGATTGCTCGCAACGCCATGCAACCGCCATATTACCACAACATGAAGAATGCCCACTGCATCGATGCAAACAAGGCAGCTTTTTCGTATATGGCATTTGTGGTTTGCAGATGCATTCACAAAACATGGTCTGGTCTGGCGAAGTGGGCAACGATGCCATTGTTCCAAATGAAGGAGGGCTTCTCCCAGGGCCAACGCTATGACGTGCTTGGAAAGTGGGATGAACTGGCAGAAGTTGACTCCGAGACCGGAGTGAGCAGGGAAGTGTCCGATGAAGAAATTTTACGATACGCCAGAGAGAGGGAAGCTAGCAAGCCCGCCAAGGATGCCTATGATCCCAACGGCCTCTACACCCTCAAGCACTTCCGCACGAACCAGCTGATCTCTTCTTTGATCCGAGGAGCGAACATGATGGGAGTTGGCAGAGACGTATTTGAACTTAGCAGCCCTAGCACCTATTTGAAGCGCAATGACAACGTAAATGTTATGCACTTCTGTTGCTTGAACGTCCTCTGCGAAATTATCCCCATGGTGACAGGACACACGCAATTCTCTGTTCTGCGACCTACACCGACTGGACCCGTGGAATTCCTATACATCGACCCGGTGGGGATCCTCCTGATGCACCAGGACTACTCCGTGCAAACCATCGGATTGCTTGTTGACCACAACATCCAGATGCCGGCGCACTTCATGAAGAAGCTCACTGCCAGCAGGGTCGAAGGAGAGAGGAACCCGAATGCGCGCCGTCCTGAAGCTCTACATCATATCTCGGCTGCGGAGTACCTCCCGCGCAGACAGACCTCCATCATGGACACACCTGTCACGGCGGAAGAGACTGAACGCGCTGCCAAAGCCAAAGCTGCTCCAAAGTCCCGTGACCGGAATGAAAGACATGGCGGCTGGAATTCCAACACGTACCATGACTACATCGAGGGCAAGAGCAGAAACAAGGGAAAAGCCAAAGGGAAAGGCAGATCTCCTGGTGCATGAGCAAGGACGATGAGACTCGGAATTCCCGGGATATGGAGGATCGCACCCTTACCGTTGACAATAGCGGTAATGTTCACATCAAGAACGCTGACATTCGCGGCGAAGCTGACCTGAGCACTGATTTGTTATTGAAATTCGCCCCAGAGGACAATCTCCGACCTTGGGAACGTGGTCAAGCATCTGATCCAGCGGCAACCCGCCAATGGTATCGGGACAACGTATGATTGGCATTTCCCGTGCAGAACGTGACCTTTGCGCATCGCTCATGAATTTCATTGCGAATGCCTCCTTCTTCGGTGACGCCTGATTCGTTTGTCATTTCAGGGGATCGTCACTGACGTAGATGAGTGTCACGACATTTCTAATTGGGATGAAAGGCTCTGATTCCATATTTCAAAGTTGCGGCGGAGACTAATCCCTAGTGTTCCTATCGCGCCATCTTCCGGGTGAGCAGCGACGGAGACGCAACTCATGGGGGGTGCGAACGGACTGCGATGCCTAGTCAAGTTCTATGGTGTCACGATAAGCGCTATGAGAGTGGCCTTGTATAGGTCAAGAGTGGAGGCACGCTACGCGTTCTCCATCTCTAGGTGAAGGCCTGTGGGCATGCTACGCATACCACAGCGCCGAACCACTTTACCATATGCCGCCCATGCAACTTTGGCTCAAGAATGAACACAAGCTCTACTAAGCATTGCCGATTGCTAAAATAAAAATAGCTTTCGTCTTCTGTGACCTTTCCGAGGAACAGAGCTATCCCGAGCACAGACAATCCATCGCTGGCCGCGAAGGTGGAAAACAAGCGAGCTCTGGATCTGCCTGCCCTGGGAGTAGCACTTGCACGTGGGAGTGAAGGAGAGAGCGTATCGAGTCTGTAGAGGGCAACCACATCATTACCCAACATAGCTCGGTGGGGTGAGCGACAAGGAACATCATCAAGAACAAATCCCCACGCAACGTCAATTTCCAGAGAGAAATGCGCAGCATTTGTGGCAGGCGCAGTTCTTCTAATGCCGAGCTCACAGTCGCAACTCAGGTGCCATTAGCTT